TATTCTTACATTCCACCTTTATGGTTAGTGGTTCTAGAGTCCATCTGCAGCCAACTTCGAACAAAGAAGGCTACAGGTGTGTCACCCATGAGAACAAATATGGAATGCCAAAACATTTGCTCATTTAATTTTGTACTGTGCTAATTTTTGATTAAATGCCAAGCAATTTGTGTGATATAATTCTTCTTCGAAATTTGAATGTCGATTCAAGTTTAATTAACTTTACTTTTTGTCGTAATTATTGATTTCTTTGCTGCGCTCTGCGATCTTCGTCATCATTATTTCAGTGATTTATATTCTTCTTCATAATCAGCCCGTAAAAGACCGCTATTTTTTTGTATAAGGGTGACAAACGAGTACACAACCCACCTGATGGTATGTGGATGCGGTGGCCCATAGACATCTACATCTATTTTCGATTAAGAATAAAAATGCATATGCGTTGTCACCACTGAGGACTAAGATGAAATGACTCGTATCCAGTAAAAAGGGTCTCCGGTTTTCTATACTCACCATACGAAACACAGTAGCATTAAGCTGCTATTTTACGCTGTTATTCTGTGAGAGCATTATTCTAGACATGGACGTCTCCTGTTGTTGGTAGAGTTTGCTTTAATTGTAACGCTTGGCAGGCGAATTGATGATAGCGATACCGGACGTCTCGAACCTTTGGACGCTGCTGTCCGTCGCCGATCTGGTGTAAACTACTGAATCCATAAGGTTTTTCTAGCTGATTCTATAGTCACCTCTTGCGACACCCACGGGACGAAATGGTGTGATTACCTATCTTACGCCGCCACAATACAGCAGGCAACATTTCCACTTCTAGAATTTTTGACCAAATAAGATAAAACTTACGAATATATTATTTTAATTTAAATACTGCTTCTGATAACAATATTAGTACAAATGTTTTTTATTTATATAGGATGACAAACGAGCACCCAGTCCACCTCATGTTGACTGGATAAAGTGGCTCATAGACGTCTACATTTATACTCAAAAATTTGAATCAAAATGCAGATGCGTTCTCATCCCTGAGGCCTAAGATGAAATGTCACGTTTTCAGTAAAACGGGTCTCTGGTTTTCTACACTCACCATACGAAACACAGCAACATTAAGCTGCTATTTTACGCTAGTATTCTGTAAGAGCGTGGTCCTTCACCGATCGAGCCGACCCATTCATGCTTCAACTATAACATAGCCGCAGCGTGGCTCTACCACGTAAAATGCTTATATAAATGCAGTTCACATACATAGAAACGGAAGGTTTTCCACATTGATTGGGTTGTTATGAGATAAAATTATATAGATAGAGACTGCTCCGTGGCGCAGTGGTTTAGCAATTAGTCGCAGCGCCTGGGAGCCGCGATGACCTACAAATAATTGTTCCGGGTATGGATGGTTGTCCTTGTGAAATTTATGTTTGTAAACTACCTCCGCGATACAGGAGAAAATCCTAGTTTGGCGGTAATATTTAAAAAAGTAAGAAAAAAAAAACAAAAAAGGCTATGTTTGGAAATATCAAGATTTGAAATTGTCTCCAATATGCCTTATCTAAAAATACCTATACTTTGTCTAAAAATATAAAAAAAATCGATTTAATTTTGGTGTAATCTATCCGTCCATTACTGCTGTACATAGACCTCACCCATAGAATGTCACACAGGTGGATTTTAGTGACATTAGTGCAGTGGCGTTGTAAAATATTGTCTCATAGTTATCCTAAGAATCGACAGAGGATAACTGAATCAGGAGATTGGCGACAATATCTTCCCGGTAACTACTCAAAATTATAAAAAAATTGCGCCTACAAATCCGCCACAGCCAAGCCAAGCAACTATAGCAAAATTCCCCCTATTTTTCGAATACCAGCATTTCCCTTAATTTAATTATAAACATTGTATTCTACTTTGAGCGTGATACAAAATATAATTTTGTTAGTTTTTAATACACATAAGACAAAACGGGTGCACAGTCTACCTGATAGTAAGTGTGGCAACAGTCTTACCTAGACAGTAGACACGTAAATGTATCCTTCGTTAGAACTCAAAATACAGATGCGTTGTCACACATTAGGACTAAGATGGAATTCCTTCTTACAAATAATAGATGTTTCCGTTTCTCGTTCTCCTTCACTTACCACACAAGACAAAGCATTTGTTATGCTGCTAATTTACGCAGGTATTATGTGTAAAAATGTCCCTTACGCGGTAGAGGCGCCTTTCGTGCTGCAACCATAATATAGCTACAGCGTGACGATACTATGTGTATTAGTTAAGAATATTATTGATGTTTTTATAAATACCAATGTAAAAGTTTACAGAGACTACCTTGGTATAAAGTTTACTATTAAAGGACAAGTTTCCTGATATTTTTCACGAAATATCAGAAAATTAGCAGTTAAGAGTCACCCTTTTTGCCTCAACTGTAACAGAATTCTCGGCATATTGAGTGACGTTCGGGTCCGCGATCTTATTGGTGGTAAGGGTAAATTGACATTTAAAAAATTAGTGTGCTTAGTCGAACGTTAATTACGACGGAATTATGCCGGACCACCGTTTGCAAAATGAGACGCAAGAACTGCCTTAAATTAAATGCTAATCTCATCTCCGGGCCAAAGAAGAACGGTCACGCCCCATAGAAAAAAAAACCCAGACCCGACAGAAACAAGACTTGTCTCAGTTTTTATATTATTTTTTATATAGTTAAATTATATATTTTTTATATTCGAAATCAATGGCTAACACCAAAATATTGCCTTATGTTTTTGTTCAGGCGTTACTCTAAAAAAATACAAAATGTCTATTTATCTACAAAATTGTTAAATGTATGTAACTAAGTGACGATACAATAGCAATGGGATGTATCTAGGTGACCTGGAGATACAGCTGGATTATATAATTTTTGAACTCCTAGTACAACAATCAACTTAGGATTCATTAAAGTCGTTGTATTCGATGATTAATTGCACATCAGAGATTTAGGTACCTATCATTGGGTTTCCATGATCTATAACAAAAAATAAATAAAACCAATATGTCGAAATAAAGTTTTGTTGAATATCTTTGTCCCTTAAAACATAATCCATACCCAGTGCGGGGTGGTCAAAGTCTACTAGCCCACAGTAAGTAATAGACAACACTAATGACGTATGAGCAACTTCCCAATGTCCTTGTACCATGGTAGCACGAGCAGTAATGTTCTGTTATTGTGTTTATACCATTCATATTCTCATGAAACATAATATAAGTATAATACATTTTTGTCGTAACGTGTCGTGACTCGTGAATGAATGCTGCACCTGATTAAATGAATGCTGCACCTGATTAAACTATTATTGTTTCTGCCCTCTACTGTCACTGGATGTCTATATATCTCCATATTATATTATGCCGTGGTTTTCAAATGCTAACTGCAGTACGACCGTGCTAACCTCACGTGATAATTTAATGAATCCAAGTTGATTGTTGTACTAGAAAAATTACATAATCCAGCTGCATCTCCAGGTTATCTAAATACATCCCATTGCTATTGTATCGTCATTTAGTTACATACATTTACGAGTTTTGTAGATAAATAGGCATTTTGTATATTTTTTGTGTATCGGCTGAACAAAACCATAAGGCAATATTTTGGTGTTAGCCATTGATTTCGAATATAAAAAATATATAATATAACTGTACAAAAAATAACAAAAAAAACTAAGATATGTCTCGTTTCTGTCGGGTCTGGGTCACAGATGACCGTTCTTCTTTAGGCCGTATGACAGGTTATTAGGTTTTTAGGGCAGGTTATTAAAGGGCTTGGGGCAGAACAGTCCGCTGGAACGCATATTTTTAAACCTCATCAACTTCATCATCATCATCATTACAGTCTGTCGCAAGTTGAAGCCTCGGCCTGCTAGGTCTCTCCCATAAATTGCTACAAAAAAGTTCCTGATCTACCATCGACTCATCAATGAGCATCCATCGACTCCTAACTACTAATTTAAGTTGGGTCTAATTTATAGTTAAAGAGATTTATAGTTTGTGATTTCTCTTATTAGCTGACTTTTAATACGGAAGCTGTTTTAAATCCGACTACGTATTTTTCTACGTATGATGTATCATGATTTCAACTATCTTCATTAAATAGTTATTACCTTAAAAGTAGTCTATTTTAAAATTGAATAAAAAGTTCACTCTAATGGTGCAAAAAAGGGAATGATGATAATTAACTATTTATATGGTATTCTTGTTTAACTTGATTAGATGTCCTGAGTCTTGTAATGTCTTACCATTACCATAACAGCTTATTTAAGTCCACTGCTGAACATAGGCCTCCTCCATAGATTGCTTCATATGGGGGAGGGGGATTTTTGCCATAGTTAGGTTAGCAAACGCAGTTTTTATTTTATTTTATTTACGTCGTTATTAGGAAGACGCTGCTGCCCATTTCCTGGTTTGTTTCCCTATGTCGCCTCTTACGACACTCACGGGATGATATTTTTTTCATAGAATAAGGGTGACAAACGAGCACAAAGTCCACCTGATGGTAAGTGGATGATGTGGCCCATAGACATTTATCCTCAATTAGGAATCAAAACGCAGATGCGTTGTCACCCCTGAGGACTGAGATTGACTGATAACAACACAAAAATACAAAAAAACTGCCGTTGCCACCGCGCCTACCAATCGTACCAACATTGGCTAATTCCCTCTTATGAGATAATCCCTGGGGAGCCCTATGTTCATTAGTGGTCTTTTATAAGCTGTAATGGATGGATGGATGGGTGGATGAAAACATTTAACTTATTATATTGTTCATGGGCGGCGGTAGTCACCATCAGGTGAGCCGCATGCTCGTTTGACCCCTCTCATATACATATTCAATAAAACATATTAGTCGCAAACCAACAAGAGACTAGAAACTAACATTTAAAGAATCTTGTGAATCAGACAATATATAAAGACGCTTATCTTTAAATAAGCATCTAAGAACCACGCTATCATTACAGAAAATGCTGAACCTGATCTCGGAACGTCTCGAACGCCGCTTATGCGATGACGTGCTCGAGGTGGCCTGGTCGACGATGTGGAACGTGACCGATGAAACGCCGCAGAACTGCCAGCGGTTCCTCGAAAACCGTGGCATGGAGTACTTCCTTGCTTGTCTGCAGGTGAGATACTATAAAAGAAACTGAAATATATACCTACTGACGAGACAAACATGTTCGTTGGTTTGAAAATTTTAATTTCCACTACTATTGTAATTTATGTTTATTTCTACTTAATATAATATCTATTATTTTCTATTCTATTGTCTGATATCGCCTTCAAAACAAATTTTATTTACCTATTAATTGCATATTAAATAACAGATTTTTTTATTCAATATAATCGTCTTGTATTTTTTAAACAAAAATGACCTTACAATTGGTTACAAAATAAGAATAGTGAATCCACACTGTATTGCGTTCACATCCATAAAGCACCCCTTTCCCTCCATTTAAAACTATAAACAGCCGACACACATAATACATATTTTTTTATAAAACTGAAATGACAAACGAACTTACAGTTCACAGCACGTAGAAAATACAAAGAGGAGGTGTTGTAATTAGATTTCACTATGTAACAACGCGTTACAATTTGCGGAGTGAGGGGTTATGTTAAGCCCTGCCCACTTTACTATTTTCCATCTACAGATAAATAGTAAAACTACTCGCATCGTTCCATATCGATGTTGCAATGTAAATTAGCTACCTTGACGATAGATGTCGTTCTGTTTACAAAATTATTATAAAAAACTATAAGAATAATATTTTGGCGGTTAAAAATTCTTTAGGACTAAATGCAAAAAAAATTCAACACCGTCGTATGATTATTTTACCAATACTGAGCTCTACGTACTGTTATATTTTTAGTTCCCATGACACAAAGTATCGCCATCTAGTTTAGAATATATTTCATTACATTTGAAAGCCGACTCAGAGATTTTTCTAGAACCTTTTTAATAAATTAGTTATAAAATTACTTACAAATGAAATGTGATGCCATCCATAGTATCAGAAAGTCTATCTGAGTAGTTTCTAAACGATAAAACACAACACTTCATCCTTTTCTTGTGAATACTACGAAAATACACCGATTTGCGATTTTCGACACATAAGCGCACAGGACGAACGCTGACAGTATACTAAGTAAAGTCACGCCCACTATGATGACGTCAGGACCTAGTTAGAATCACAGTGCACAGTTGCTTATGTCACCTCCTCTTTGTATTTGCTTCGTGCCTGATAGCAAGTAGCTACTGCATTCCATGGACGAAACGACAGTAACGACGTAGGAAGGTTGCAGATGCGTTGTTACCTCTGGGGACTAAGATGGGATGCCTCACGGTTTGTAATTATACTGCCTCTCTATATTCTTCAGAACGAAACACAGCAATGCGAGCGGAAACATTTGGCGGCAGAAATAAGTTAGAGACCTATCCAGACTAGACTTATAGGGAGAAGATGAGTCCTACCATCTAGTAAAACCGTTTAAAACAGTGGAACTAAACTATGGAATTTAATGTGAAAACATATCGAAATTTGGACTTTCACAGTACAGTAATTTCTAAACGAGTAACTCTCAGTAATTAGTAGCAGTAGTATTTTTTATTTGTGTAAAGTAAAGTTGCAGCCTATTTACGTCCCACTCCTGGGCACAGGCCTCATCTCATTTCTGAGAGGGTTTAGGGCAAGGAAATGTCCGCCGCGCTGCCCCAATGCATGTTGGCGAACTTCACATGTCTTCGAAATATTTTTTTTCTTATTTCTCAGACATGCAGGTTTCCTCACGATGTTTTCCTTCAACGCCGAGCACGTGGTAAATCAGCACTTAAAATTGCAATTAGCAATTTCATTGGTGCCGGCGGGGATCGAACCCGGGTTGCTCGAGTACTGTGAAGCTTACAGCGAGCTTTAACCATCTGAGCTACCACGGCTCAGTATATTATTTATTTGTGTATATTGTATAAATTAAAACGGTGTCAAAATATCAAAACTAATATTAGAAGGAAGATCTTGCCGCCATTTATTAACTGCAACCACCATTTTCTACCTTTCATATAATATATAATAATGTATAGCTTTTCAAACATCTCATTACACTTGCCGTAGATATATTTTACATTACAAATTATTGTACGAACTTAACTAATTACTTTTAACGTCTTCAAAATTGCAACATTTACAAAATATAATTTTTAATCGTAACCAGATCTATACAAATAAATAAAATTGAAATGTCTGCTTCTAATGTCAAAATAACAGCTTTTTACTAATTGCATATAAAAGTATATACGGTATTTATAACAAAAACACAATTTTTAAATGCTTGTCTGTCTGTCTGTCTGTCTGTTTGTTCCGCCTAATCTCTGAAACGGCTAGACCGATTTTGACGGGACTTTCACTAGCTCATGTTATAAGAATGAACTTCGCTACTTATATTGCACAAGATATATTAAGAACATTGACAGTGACAAGGTAAGACCACCTTTTTTGTCTTGACGGGCAGACTGTCGCTTAAGAGCTCAACAATTATCAAGTAACAATTGAGTTACGCTGTCGACCTAGAAGACGAACAAAGACGTTTATTCATAAGCCGTATCTCAAACACAAAATAACCTTTAACTTTAATTTACATATTATAAGTGTTCAGCATTTAAAGCAAATAATTTTTGTGTCAGATTGCGTTCAAATATAAAAGCGACTACCGTTTAAATAGAAATGAATTATTCACAAAATTTTACGGGATGATATAGTGGCTATGTAAGAATATGCACTACATATTCTTACACAACCGCTACACGGTAATCCCCTATTTTGCCACCGCTTTATATGGGACCAGTACTGAAGTATAACCTATCTAATAATGGTAAAAAATATGAGAAACGATTAAAAATTGACGAAGATACCGCGTAAGACATATGAAAAACATACAATCAAATTGTAAATCTTCTTAAATCGGCTAAAAATTATATCTATGGTTCCACAGAGCTTCCCTGATAAAGAAGAACTACTCCGCAACATGATGGGTCTGCTGGGCAACGTGGCTGAAGTAGCTGAATTGAGGCCACAGCTGATGAACACGTTGTTCCTTAACGTCTTCTATGATCTTCTCGACTCATCTTGCGACGGTATAGAGGTAAGTTAAACTTGTTGCGGCTGATAGTTTAGGCCTCATTTCAAAGTCATTATCAGGTTTATACAGCAATACTAAATATATTATTTTGTACCGTGAGTATCATAGAGGGCAACAGTACAAGGCCAAAAACACCTCATTGATATATTATTGACCCAGAATGGTAACAGAGAGTGGCGTCATAGATACAATATAACTGTTATATCGAAACCCATCCACCTGAGAGTTATGGTAATTACGTAATATTCTGCCTTCAATGGGAGAGGCGCACGCTCATCAATGCACTGCAATATAAAGAAGGAGAGAGAAAAATTTACAAGAGAACCAACCTGCTAATTTCCGTTCTGTTCCTGAAGTTTATCTTAATATTTATATATAATCACAACGTTTATGTGCTTAATTGACATTTATTTCATTTTAATATAGTACACATTTTGTAAAATTTTTTTAATGCACTCGTATGGTTGTACTTATACTATATACTAGAGCCAAGTAATAAGGAATTATCCTTCAAAATAATCAATTTAACAAGTGAAATGAAAAAAAAATATCAGGTTTTTTATAATATTCTTGCATTGTCATCCGAATTTGAACTATATTCAAAATTTCAAGTTTCCAGCTCATCGGGGAGTTGGTTTAAAATCAATTACTAAATTCCGCCCGTAACGACAGAAACAAGAAACCTAATAAAAACGTGGTAAAAATTTGGTGGGAACTTGACAGAACAGAAACAGAAACAGAAACTTTTTTATTCAATATAGATTATAAATAATACTTATTGAAAGTCACTCTTGTTTGATTACCACTGGTTCGGAAAAAAACCTCTGTTCTGGGAAGAACCAGCAAGAAACCCAGCGGGTTTTTTTAAAAATAACAGCTTACAATCATGATGTTACACAAATTAACAACACAACAAATTAGAAATAGCTTGGTAGCGATCACCTCATTTCCAGGGGTTATTATCATCCATAAATTCCTTAATACTATAATAACCCTTTTTATACAAACTTAGTTTAATAAAGTTTTTGAACTTTGAGCAGGTCAAACTTTGTATATTTTCTGGGATTTTGTTGTAAAAGCCTATACATCGCCCCAAGAATGAATTACTGACTCGATAGAGTCGAGTAACTGGTACTACTAGCTTGTGTCTGTTCCTAGTATTTACAGAATGAATATCATTTATTTTTGTAAAACTATTTTTATTTTTGTGTACGTACATTACATTTTCATAAATGTATTGAGAGGCCAATGTTAATATATTAATTTCCTTAAAATTTTTGTCGCAGCGACTCTTTAGGCTTTAAATCATAAATTGCTCTTATGGCCCTCTTCTGTAAAACAAATTTAATTTCATTGTCACCGCCGGTAGATTGTTGCTCCTGTATTATTGTTTAAATAATAATATGAAGTGGATTTTGATACAAAAAGTGGTGCTATTTTGTCTATGAAATTCGTATGCAAACTATTATGAAAACGATGACACATGTACTTCGACAGTGATGTGAATATCAAGTTATTTTGTCTGCTTATGCACCTTGGGATACAATCTTCATCAAAAGTCTGCTGGCTTAAGCTGCCGTCAAAATCTCCCAAAATCTGGTGATGTTAATGCTACCTAATAGCGTTAGACTTAGTGGAGAGACGTGATAAGAGGCTTATTGGAACCTTGATTTGGTTGAAACCAATCTTGTGAGCATCGAGCACAGGCGCCGAGTAGCCAGCGTCTTGGTGTTCTATAGGATGTATTTCGGAGAGTGTGCGCAGAAATTAAATGCTTTAATTCCTGCCTCTCCTTTCAACCATCTGACAACCAGTCGGTCGGCGGGTCTTTATCTCTTTGTTGTCGATATTGCACGGATTAGAACCAAACGCATTATGTCGTCTTTCGTAATGCGTACAGTAAAGAAGTGGAATAAATTGCCGACGTCTGTCTTTCCGTCAATAGTTCTAATCAATGTGTAGTGTTCGTGTAAATATAAGAAATCATTATTATTATTCGCGTCATTTTATGCACAATAAAGTTACATTACAGTAGTTTACAGAGGTTCAAAAAAGTTTATAATTACTGCAACGTGGCCTGAATTTTGTCTTTTTTTTTAAAAGCAACTACAAACGATGCATTTACGCCGTGACCGTAAATTTTGTATGAATTTTTATTTTATGTTAATGTTAATTATAAAAGGCAATAGTATAAATTGTCAATTTTGTAAAAGGTAGATAAAACGAAACATGAAGAAGACTTGATGAGAATGTAGCCGCAAAACTGAATTTCACTTTGCAGGGTTTGAAAGTTTTAATTAATACCTCGCTTCCCCGGAGTGTTACTGGTGCGTAGTTCACACGATTTTAATAAAAGTTTTTAATTACACTACATCCTTTTAAATGTATTTACTTTCAACAATATAATTATAGTATATGAGATTTTGTTTATAATTTTCAATAGCATAAGTGATTTTATTAAAAGTTTAACGCTGCTGCCCGTCGCCGGTCTGGGGTATTTTACGTTTTTTTTTTATAAGATAAGGATGACAAACGAGCATACAGTCCACCTGATGGTAAGTGGTCGCTGTGGCCCATAGACATCTACATCTATACGGGATTGAGAATCAAAATGCAGATGCATTGCCACCCCTGAAGACCACGTTGGAATACCTCTTTACCAGGGAAAAAGGTTTCCGGTTCTTTACACTCACCATAAACACATTCAGCTGCTATTTCACGCTGGTGTTCTGTGAGAGCGTGGTCCTTCACGGTCGAGACGACCCATTCTTGCTAGAACTTCTATGAGTTATAACCGTAGACTTACAAGATACTGACGTATAGAAGATCTAACAGCCCGAAAATGAGTTAGATGTTTGATTTCTCATTGTTGCGTGTACATCTAGTGATGTACATTTTAGTTACGAGGACTATCGAAAAATTATAAGGAAGCGGTAAAATAATTAAAAAAATATTTAGTACGAGAAACTGAATTACTTAAAAAAATTACTGAATTTTATCTTGATAGGTCTAAAAGAATTGAAAAATATACAAATAAAATGTTCACGGGAAGAAGCTGCACTATTTGCCTTTTGTTGGATTTTAAATCAAATTTAACAAAGTCCCAATAATCTCTAAAGAGGTGCGTCTTAACTTAAACAATTTCCCCCAAGAATCAGATCGGAAACCTGTATTTTCGAGCTATGACCTTTGGAAAAAACTTTATTGCAATGGACAGTTTCCCCGAAATTTCTTTTTTAACCCTTTCACCGACATCGCCGTAATATTACGAATCTTAAGGTGAATACCGTCAGCGCCCTCACGTAATATTCCGAAATGCTCATGTTACTAGAAAAACTGCAAGGTTAATTCGATTTTGCTATTAAATTTAATATATTTAATTAATTCTGGACAGTTGTAGATACCAATATCAAAAAATTAACAGAAATATATAGTGTTACTAAGTGCAAGATGAAACTAAACACCTTGCTGCCTCTCCATCCCCGTGATATTTTTGAGACCAGTGCCGCGCCACTGTAAAAGATTTATCAAATTTATATTTGTATTGTTTCAAGATTAAAATAATAGTTAAGTCATCATAATGTAATTTTTTAATGAACTGAACTAAACATTAATAAAAATTTAATTTCATATATTATTTAAATGATTTTTGCGATAAGAAATAAGTTTATGAAAAATATTAATTTATAAACCAAACAACCCAAATGTAAAATTGAATTATCCCGGTACGTCACTAGTGCATTCGAGTTGAGAACGCCAGCACCATGAAGCATATAGCCAGCACCGTGATTTCACGTGAGGCTCAATGTCAAGGACAGTGACGTTTCAACAAATTGTCAATTACAGTAGCTCCGTCACCGTGATAACACTCGTGTACTATACTTATTTGCATTTGTAGTGCTGGAAATTATCGATATGCTAGACGAAGAAGAACTGTTAAATAATTTATAATCGCATAATGATATTCATAGTGAAAATGTTTCATCTACAGACAGTGATATTGAATCGTTAAGTAAATATTCATGTAAAATAAATAGTCAGGTATTTGAGAAACTTACACTACATTTATATTTGCTTAATTTATACATTTTTACAGGAACATGAAAAATCTTCTAGTATATGGAGTAGAATTATCATGTCACAAAGTGATGAATCGCCGCCGTTATCGCCATCTATTCTCCCATTTCCGTTGGTAGAACAACGCAGACAGAAAATCATTACATATGCTATGTGAAATCGGTAGATGACTACACGGCCTATATAAGTTTGCCCGCTTCAAGATTCTTTAATCAAAGACCAGAAGAGCCTCGAAATGAGCATTTTGGTACATTAATTGCATTTGAAATGGAGTCAGTCCAATAGGAGATTCGATCGCAAGTGTATATGGGCATAATAAATTTGATATATCACGCTCGGGAAGGAGCTGTATTAGATCAAGGTCCATGCCCATCTCCTGAATATTGATTAGTTTTATGAAGAGAATTAACGCTGATTAAGTGTAATGTGATTAATAAAAATTAAGACTGATTAAAGCTAGTGATAATATCCAATAAGAAAAATATTATGATGATTGAAATAAATAATAATGTATAATTTTTAAAACTTTGTTTCATTTATCGATAAACGGTTGTTCCAACACTGCAAAATATTAAATAAAAGTTCCTGGTGCTGGAGACACTCTACGTCAACAAAAGCGCGGCGGTGAAAGGGTTAACATAACGTTAATGAACTATAAATAGGTAGATAATTAAGTTTATACCTATTTATACTTTATAATATATTTTATAAAATATTTTGCTATTGAAATAAAAAAAACGGGGCCACTGAGTACATAATGGCCACTTTATTTTTCATATACCTATTACTTTTAATAATTACAAACATTTAATAATTAAATACAATAAATAGAATATAATATTAACATTTGACTTAAATGTGAATTTAAACCTAATAATTTAAGTAAGAAAACTTGTAGGAATCAGGTAAATAAGATTACTCTGTTT